AACTAAAAAATTCACCAAACTTCGCCCCCTCGACACCCACCAGGGGCCCTTGGCGGCCCCCTGGCCCCAAACCTAGGTGCTCGCTTCGTTCGCATACTGAAGCCTGAAAAATGCACACCCCTCCCCCACCCCACTTTCAAAAACGTTCCGCCGCAGTTGCTGCGTTGTGTAGTCTAAAATCAAAGTATGTTGTTAGACTTTCTTTTGTTGCGCGCGTGCATTAAACTACAAGTTCAAGGTCAAGTGTTACAACTTTGGAACTCAGTGGCTTACTGGTTTATGTAGTCGAAATCAACGAATGTTGTAAGATTTTTCTCTTGCTGCGCGCGTGCATAAAACTGCAAGGTCATGTACAAGTTTTACTAAAATCAGAATTAGATTTTTAAACTAGTGACTTACTGCGTTGTTTGATAGTCCTAAATCGACGTAGGCCTATGTTGTGAGATTTTCTTTTGTTGCGCTGTTTAACTGTAAGAATAAATTCGAATTTTGTCATAGGCCTATAGGTCTAAAAACCTATGTCGAATATTATACTATTATGCATAATGTGTTTACAACTCTCATACTTTTCGAAGAATAACGTATATAAAGGCCTATTTATACTTTTAAAAAAACGATAAAATCGTAAATCGTATTCGTTACTAGAAGTATATACAGGCCATTATTCGAATACACGTCCAGCTCTGAATAAACGCACCCCGTGACCCTCTTTCAAATTATACGCCTTTCCAAAACGTCATGACGAATAAACACGTCCCCTTCCCAATGACTGTCAACAAAAATAATGGAAGCAACACCAATTTAAACACAATATCAACATGGACCTATTAACCGGTCCATGATATCACAATTAATCTATTATATATATTAATTCTGCTAATCGCCACCGCGCTATAGCTTCTTCTATCGCCTCTCTGAAACCGCTGGCAGGAATGTGCTGAAATCTCATACGCTGGGGCTTCTATATGTCACGACCACATTCCGCGACTTTTAAAGGCTGGATATTGGATAGCAACGGAAAAAACAGCCAAAAACCACCGAAAATCAGTACCTGTTTCGTCATGTTTTGCAAGTTTCTTACGTCACGTAAATACAATTAATTACATCTATTCTGTACTGCAATGCTGAGGTCTAAAATGTCGAGGCCGTAAAAGAACCAGTCTTATGATTCGCAGCTTCATTACGTCACCGCCCATACTTCTCACGGTCGTCAACAACATGTGTGACAATCGCATGTTCCCATACCTCTTCGGGAGTACCCATTGCATTTACTGGATATATTGTAGTTTTATGGTACAAAACATCAGCAATAAATGGCAAGTCGATCAGGTAAAAATAAAGATACACCTGGGCACAAGCCATGATATAACCCGTCAGTCTAACCATACCGGCTAGGCCTACACAGGTCTAGGCCTACTACAGTTACATAGGCACACAGGCCAGGCACAACCCTGCTCTGGCCTAGGCTCTAGCCTGGGCGCGGCCTACCCTAGCTTGCGATGTCGCTCACAAATAGGCCTAGACCTAGGGGCCTAGGCTCAGGTGTAGTTAGCATACCAGGGCCTATCCTCTATCTCTCGAATCCGGGTCGATTTTGGATAGTGCATTAAGATAGATAGGGTCAAACAAGTTCCACCAATCAATACCTTGAATTTACGTAAACACGTCGGGACAATGTTTATGGGTTTATTTGAATGTCAGTAGTTCGGATGCGTGCATCCACCTTGATTTAAGACAAACATATGTGCTATTCGCTTATTGAATTATTCTGAAACTGTTGTGCCCCCCATGGTAACCATAACATCCACAACGATTGCCTCCTCAACTTCCCCATTCAACTATGTATATGATCGCCACCTTTCTCGACTCATTCAACACAGGTATAGGCTAACTTTTATTTTTATTTGTAGAATTAAATTATAGCTAGATATCATGATCTTGCAGTAACAATTTTTAAACAATAAATGTGAATGTACTCTACAGGGACCACTTGTGGTAGTCCATATCCATTTTAAATGGAAAAAAAATAGACGTCTTCAATTTTAAATGGAGAAAGATAGATGTCATCCTTGAATAAGTGCCTCCCTCGAACATACGCCCCCTCAATAATCACATAGGCGTACTCCTTGCCCTGGGGCGTACCGACACGGTAAACAACGCTAAGAATCATGAGCTATTCATCACAAATGTCAAAAGGTTTGCTGCCGTATCAGAACGATACCTTTCATGGATTACTATGTCTAAATTATTGTTTTCTATTGTGTTTTGTTTGCTTAGTGGGTCTCTTGGTTTGTCCTATGTATAATATTTTGTGGTTTGAATTTGAAGTATGAATATACAAAAAAAATAAAAAACTTCAAAATTCAAATTAAGTGTGCGTATTTTTTTACTTATCATACTGCAATAGTTTCGGCTGTTAGTCTACAGTATTTAGATTGTGAATTCATTTTGTGAATTAACGATTAATTATGTGTTTTTGATTTGAGGTTTAATACAAATAAATCTAAAATTATGAAAAATTGTGCATGTTAATTATTGGTGTGTCGAGTTGCGTCTGTTAGGCTACAGTGGCCAAGTCTTTGACATAATTTTGATTGTTAATTAAAGATTAATTATGTGTGTTTAAAAAAAGTTACAATAAAAATATTTGAAATCAGTTTTCGCCAATATACCGTAATTAGAATTTCATAAAATCCAGAATAATCAGAATATCTGATGTTATGCAGCAAAATTAAGAAGTGAGATCATGTCATACAACATGACCTCTGCTCGACCGTATCATTGGGACTTTCACAGCAAAACACATCAACGAGCGGCTTGTATCTATTTAACGCCTGTCAATATAATGTTAAGATTGTCTTATCATGTTTCAGCTTCGAACCTGAGCCCTGGGCACATGACATCAGGCTAGAGTTAACTTCAGTACCGTAGTGCTAGGTTCAATGTAAGTTTCATCTGCATATATTACGACATTTACAGTATATAGTGCTATTTCATGTAGATCAGAGTGCTTTTTGCCTCCATAATCTTCTTCTTTTTTTTTTTTGTATTTTTTTGGTATTTTTTTACTAATACTGTAATCTGTAGGGATGAAATACATCTAACAGAATAAAACAAAAAAGTGAGAAAATAAAATAAAACAACGCAGATAAAACCAAACAGCACCGCACAGGTCCCGAGCAATTTAAGCACAAGGCCCTCCAGGACAGTATTCGCAGGCACAAGTCCCTCCAGGACAGTATTCCCAGGCACAAAGTCCTCCAGGACAGTATTCGCATGCACAAGGCCCTCCAGGACAGTCATAGGCGTAGATCCCCGGGGGGGGGGGATGGGGATAGGGGATATATCCCCCAATATTTGACATGGGGGGGATGGTCCATTGTATCATCCCCCAATATTTTGACTATGTATGGGATAAAATGGAGCTTTACACACTTCAAAAGACTGTCACAGAAATAATTTGCACTGTCTTATGCGCTTACAAAGATGAAAATTAGCATAATGTATTAATGTTGATTACAAAATTATTTTATCTGGTACCAATCTAAGCTATTCTTTCCTTAGATGTTAGATGTGCTTGTAAAGAGAGCCACATTTCACACTGAAGGTGTGTTCGACATCAGTAATGTTATGTCAATTCCAAGAATGTTTAAGTTTATATCGGTTGATGAGAAATTTATTGATTAGGCCTATAATAGCAAATTGCATCAATTTATTTTGCAAAAACAAGGTTTCCAGCTTCAGAGGGGAGCACATTTCCTGTCCGCACAAGGGCACACATTGGCGCTAACACAAGGCGCGTAACAGGGGTCTTGGGTCAGAGTGGGTATTTATTTTTTTATTTTTTTTAATTTTTTATTTCAACCATCTTTAAAGTAGGTTAACTGATATTCAGGGGCCCTCTTTAATAAAATTAAAGAACAGTACAAACAACATCATTACAACATAATAATAATAATAATAATAATAATAATAATAATAATAATAGTAATAATAGTAATAATAGTAACAATAGTAACAATAATAAGAATAATAACAATAATAATAATAATAATAATAATAATAATAATTATTATTATTATTATTATTATTATTATTATTATTATTATTATTAATAATAAAATATACAATCCTCATATCCCGGTTAGTAATTTACCATACCCACCCCACCCCACTTCCCATATAGAAAACAATACGACATAGGGCTTATTTTATTTATAATATAGGCCACACACGTGTGTTTGAAATTAAATATAAGCATTTTCATCATGGTTTTATTTATTACAAACATATTCTTCATGTGTCTATACACATTGAGGCCCTTCTCTTAGGTTAAAATGATCTATCTTAAATTTGCAATTTATAGAGGAAATTGGCCTACCGTAACAAGAAATTCGCGCAAAGAATTTGAGAAATTTAGGCACTTTTATAGGATGCATTTGTCAAGGGATGGAGAAAGATTTTCCAAAGATGGATATTTTCCCTTGTCCCCGGTGTTTTTAATTCTAATTTCGTTGGAATTGATCAAAACTCCATAAATGTGCAATTTTTAGAGGAAATTGGGCCATGTTAACAAAAAATGCGCGCGAAATTTGAGGTTTTTAGGCACTTTCAGGGGATGAAAGGGCATTTATAAAGTGGTGGGGAAGATTTTTCAAAGATAGATTTTCCCCTTGTCCCCCAGTGGTTACGCTATCGGGCAGCATAGATCAAAGGAGTTATGACAGTTTTTGAAGTGGAGAAGGGGTTGGAAGGTGATATCTTCCTTTTTATTATTGTCTTTATTTTTCTCTTCTCTTTTTCTTTCCTTTTCTTTTCCTCTTCTTTCTCTTTCCCTCCCTCTCCCCTCTTTCTTTTCTCTTATTACCCAGCCAGGTACGACGGCTTGGTCAGCCCGGTAAAAACCGTCAGGGGAGGGGCAGTTTTCCCCCTCCCCCTGCGCCTGTTACGACACTGGCTAATGCGAAATATTTTTCTACGCCACTGAGGACAGTATTCGCATGCACAAGGCCCTCCAGGACAGTATTCACAGGCACAAGGCCAGCCCTCCAGGACAGTATTCACAGGCACAAGGCCCTCCAGGACAGTATTCACAGGCACAAGGCCCTCCAGGACAGTATTCACAGGCACAAGGCCCTCCAGGACAGTATTCACAGGCACAAGGCCCTCCAGGACAGTATTCACAGGCACAAGGCCCTCCAGGACAGTATTCACAGGCACAAGGCCCTCCAGGACAGTATTCACAGGCACAAGGCCCTCCAGGACAGTATTCACAGGCACAAGGCCCTCCAGGACAGTATTCACAGGCACAAGGCCCTCCAGGACAGTATTCACAGGCACAAGGCCCTCCGGGACAGCAGGCACAGGGCCCTCCAGGACAGTATTCGCAGGCACTAGGCCAGCCCTTCAGGACAGATATTCACAGGCACAAGGCCAGCCCTCCAGGACAGTATTCACAGGCACAAGGCCCTCCAGGACAGTATTCGCAGGCACAAGGCCCTCCAGGACAGTATTCACAGGCACAAGGCCCTCCAGGACAGTATTCACAGGCACAAGGCCCTCCAGGACAGTATTCACAGGCACAAGGCCCTCCAGGACAGTATTCGTAGACACAAGGCCCTCCAGGACAGTATTCGTAGGCACAAGGCCTTCCAGGACAATATTCGCATGCCTAAGGCCCTCCAGAACAGTATTCGCAGGCACAAGGCCCTCCAGGACAGTATTCGCAGGCACAAGGCCCTCCAGGAGCTTATTCTTGAGCCAATACAAATTCTTTCCTGGGATCACTCAAAATGAATACTTTTAAAACATGTAAATATGCATCAGTACACGTTATACATAGGCCTAATAGAAGGAAGCAGGTAAACTCGGCCACAAGTCAACTCGGCCACAAGTCAACTCGGCCAAAAATCTTCATAAATCTCAGGCCAGAAATGCGATACTGTGTTTCAATTTCGTTGTTATCCTTTTCCAAGTTTCATTAAATTTTTGTTTAATACTGTAATACCTACTACAAGTACAGTAATAATAATAATAATAACAATGATGATGATGATGATGACGATAGTAATAATTGATAATAATATTAATAGCAATAAAAAGTGAAGAAAATTGTGCTAAATGCGAAAAAAAAATTGTGATTTGTTGATCATAATATAGTATACATAGTTAAAGCTTAGTCAGCTATAATTAGGCCTAAGTTTTCCTGGATATTAAGTAGATCCCTGATAAAAGATCATGAGAAATTTGTTGGCGTTTCATTTTGACTATAATGGTGATGTGATGATGAATTTTACTATATAAAAGTGTCATTTCCGGCCATCTCGAGAGGTACTATTTCCTCAAATTTTCTCACCTCAGCCCAAGCCATGGTGGGGCTGAGGTGGTTGTGAAATAACGTTTTTGAAGTAGGCCTGTGTAAAGTACATACTCAGACAATGGTGGGGCTGAGGTGGGTGTCGACTCACAAAATGCCCTCCCCATCCACCTTTCAAAACAGATCTGTGCCCTTCCCTGGGTATGACATTAAACTCCATCGAGTCGGCTCCTGATGTATGTCTTAGTGACTGCTGTTTGTTTTTAGGATGTGATCTGGTTTTTCACGTCCATTTTTAGTGATTATGACTACAGTATTCTGGATAAAGAATGTTTTGAGAAGAGGTGGATTCAAGCCCCCCCACCCTTTCCCTTCATTTTTTAAGGGAAAAAAAAGAAAAATATATTCAAATTGAAGTGCGAGGGTGTAATTTCCGGCCGTCTAGAGCTGAGATGCCCTAATCATAAATTTTCTTACCTCAGCCCCAACCATGGTGGGGCTGAGGTGATTGGTTCCTCAGTCTGTGGATGTCCCTCCCTGGTTTACCTCTCTTTCGAATTCCTGGATCTGCCTCTGTTGATTTATTATGTAATTATTTTTGCGCTTATTTATAATGCGTCTATTACAATTTTCACTTTATCCTCTCAAACAGTCCTAAAAGAACGTTCAGAGTGGCTACTTCACAGGGAGATTCGCCCCTTTGACCCCGCCGGGGTCCTACGTTATTCGCATAACGCCCCCCCCCCTTTCAAAATCCTGGCTACGTCCCTGTTGGAACCTAGTCAGTCAAGTTTTAATTAGGCCTACATGGAAATAAAACAGTTTTCAACATTTTCTTAAATGTAACGGAGGCTGAAATACAAATTTTTCGTGGCAATTTGTTCCAGTAATGTGGTAACGCATAAGAAAATGTCTGCCGATGTGATGTTGCGAGTGATCAACTAACGAATCGTCTGTCGTCGTGCTACCAAACGCTCCCTAATGTTACTGAGCGAAGGCTATTTCTAGTTGGGTCCTTTTTGTGGCGAACTGGGCAGTTACACTGGAAGACAATTCCATTAGTATTTTTCCCGAAGAGTGTATGCATAACATAAGATAATAAGATGGCCGCACATAGGCCTAGTATATTTGTATTGCTTACTTTACTTTAATAACCAAACATTCACACTGATGTACCAACTAGTAGTAGTAGGCCTAGTAGAGGCTTGGCCTATTTTTAAGTTCTTACTTAATATTACATTAGGCCTACCTTTCTAACAATGTTCTACCCTAGGCCTAAATCTGTGTAGCTAGCGAGTAGCACTAGGGTTCTATAATAATAATAATTTATTGAACTTGCACTTTTGTAACATTAGTGGCACTCGTCAATTGACGGTGCGTTCAAGACCAAAAAAATTACAAAAAAAAGTTACATTTGAATTAATACAAAAAGCACAAGCACAAAATTCGAAAGTACATTCTTATCATAACTTAACTATAAAAAAAATCCATAACAAATTATATATATATATATATATATACACAAATACACACATATATATATACATACATATATATATACATATATATATACATATATATATATACATACATATATACATACATACACACACACACACACATATATATATATATATATATATATATATATATATATATATAGGCCTATATGAATAAATAATTGCTGCAAGACGATTTAGAGTTATCTCTTCACGTGTTACATTAAATACATTATATAAGGCACAATGACTATCGACCATAATTAAGCATAGACCTTCGACGAGAAGTCTTAGATTGGAAGACGAGTGAATAGATTTTAATATGATTTGTCAGGAAGAGTCTTTGTGTAAGGGTAATTTCAATATACTTGTGACATAAGTAAATAATACAAGAGAGTTTCAAATAGAAAAAACATGAATAATTTGCATTGCATTGCACTATCAGGCTTGTTGCTTCTGGTGATTCTCCACAGGCCAATAAAACGCACACATAGGCTTATATAAATAATATAGTCCGATAAAGATAAAATTTATATGCATTTATGTGTAAAATAAAAGTCAAGCTATAATGCAAAACTACAATGCTCTGAGAAACAACGCCTGGCTCTCGAAAGAGATTCTTATTTGATTAGCAACAGCTAAAATGCAAACGTAAGTAAACAGCCAGAAATAGAACCACCTTTTGGAAAATACTAGTCCTTTCTAAGTGTCGTGTATTTTTGGTGCGTTCACTTTTATTCGTCTGTAGTATCACCATCAAGTCGCAATGTCCAATCCCTGACTAAACTTCCCCTTTCTATTAATTAGAAAAAAAATGGTTTTCCCATTTCCAATATTTTCCTTTTTTTTTTCTTTTTGTAGGAAGTAATTTATACCCCTCAAGTTATGACAGTGTACTCTTAGTTTATTTACAGTACCGGACGTCAGACACTATATCGTTAGAATGTAGAGCACTCGCGAATGGATTATGTCAGCACGTGTGATAGAAAAAGAAAAGTAAATCAAGTCACAAACTGATTTATCTTGAATTTAAAACATACGTTTAATACATTGAAAACATAAATTAATAAGACTTGCAAATTTCCCGTGCCAAGTACATTTTATACCATTTACATAATATCTTCTTTTAGTTTGTAATAAATAACATGAACTTTCAACTGAAAGTTTGATAATTCTCGATTAACGTCTGTTAATTAGAGTAAACTAAATTAAGTATTTTGATCTCCGTATAACTTGCTTGATCCTTGTATGAGCAAATCAATTTGTATTGAATCATGTAGGACATTCTTTAGATTTAACCATGACGATCCTCCCAAACATTTGGATAGATAATCTTAATAATTATATCTAAACATACAATTGGTAAGTTATAGGCCTAGTGTAAGTGGAAGCAGGCACATTATTTGGTCACAATACATACCAAATTTGAATTTTTTTTACACATATTTTATGTGGTTTCCGTTTATATCAAATAATGGTGGTACACCTTTCTTGTGCTATAATTCTTTTGTTCTGAGTCGATCAATGTTAAAGCTCAGTGCATTGCAGGTAGGCTTAATTATCACTAGGGCATTAATTATAGACCTTTTACAACAAAACTGAAAAATATATAATTATTCTTCTACATATATAAATGATTTCATTTCATTTATTTATTTGACCAAAAATCAGTAATTAAAACAAAAGGTCAGGAAATACTAAAGTGACAAAAGTCACTATGACTCAGAGTCAGTAATTCCCAAAAAAATGTTAGGAATTTGCCAAATACAGTATTAGAGACAATATTTTACCTGATTATTAAAATTTGCGTGCTTTTTAAAACCAATTTGGTTCCCTTTCCATAACTGTTACATTGTAATATCTCACTTCAACACACATTTTGAAATATCATTGGATTCACTAATGGTTAAGATTGTGTCTAAAGTCAAGAAGTAATTGTATTCGTCTATTATAATTTGGGAATGTGTTGATTGAGTTTATGGCGAAATATGTTTTCATTTCTCTTTTCAAGTAATGCAATATTTATTGTAGGTAGGCTTAGTTTAACTTTTTGGTTTATATAATGTAGGTCTATGAATTTAAATATTCCGAAATAAAGTTGAATTGTACTGATTGAATGCAGGTCTACTTCAAACCAGAAAATTTACATATTGGAAAAAGTAAATGGTGTTTAAAATCATTTGATCAATTATAATCTCTACCATGATAAATTGATTGCAGAGAGTTGTTCTTCAATAGGTTGATAGATTCATAGGTTGCATGCCGTAAATTACTATAAGGATTATAGGCTCATCATACAACCTGATACAACCAAGTGTAGTGTCCTGTTGGTATGTGAATTATTACACATTTTGAAAAACGTCATCCAACACACATTGTTTGCGAGAACTGCCAGTCCGTGTGAAATAATATTAGCCCTTCGATAAATTAGTGGACCGAGAACAATATATTCATTGACGACAGACGGTAATAAGGAGTGACCGTTTAATTAGCATCACATTTTGCAGTGTTTACCAAAATTGAAGAGTAATATTGGTACAGTCTAGTAATGCAGCCATACCGCTCAGTTCATCTCTTTACAGAATTCCTCTGACATTTCCTCATGATTAGGCCTAGGCCTACTTGTCCCAAAGAAAGCAGGGTGAAAGTGTTAATAATAAAATTGCTTTTAAATTAATTAGATTAAATTCTCTGTGGCAACGATTCCGTTCGAAAAATATATTTCACTTCCATCAGTGAGGTACATAATCAACGATGAATCTCTATATTTAGACAGTTAGACGTATTAAAGGGAGATCATTTCCAAGGTATGAAGATGTGTCAACTCCTGTCACCCACCTTGTCAATAAAATGGAAGATTTTCAACAGCACCTGCTAAAAATTTCATACAGCTCAGAATATTGTTACTCAACGAAGTAGGACTCTCTCTTAACTTAAGCCTAATAATATAAGATTTTGCTCAAGGTACATACATCTTTCAATGTCAGTAATTACAACACTTAAAGAGCATTGATCAGATCAGAGACGCTTGCAGTAGTAAACGATTTGTCTCTAGAAACCCGACACACGCATATCGATGCCAAATCTGGCAACACTAGCTAATGAATTGTGGCGTTAGTTATCTTTCAAAACAGCGCCACTAACGTTTACGTGTTTCGAACATCCTTAAAGCATATCTTCACTTGAGTATCTACTAAACTTCGTTGAGATCCCATTCCTCGCTTGCATTGTTGTAACGCAGCTTTGATTTTTCTTAATAGGCACTTTAATGAAAAACATTTTCACAAAATATTTCCTAAAGCATCTCACTGCAAACCCGTAAACAATTGGGTTCATGGCACTGTTGGCGTAAGCCAGACAAAACGTCAGAAAACGTAAAACGCTCTTTATCTTGTATTCCTTTAATGAAGACACCCCATTGACGTGTGGGTGAAATGTGTCTATGAGAAACATAGCTTGAGCAGGGGCCCAACAAACAGCAAATAATATAACAATTGTAAACACCATCCGGGTCACCCGGCGTCTCCGTCGTACATATCTTCTATGAGCCTGTGCACTCTCAGTTCCACGCGAAGTTTTGCGCCAAACTTGAATAAGAATTTGTAAATAACATATTAGAATACTTGCTAACGGTAAGAAATAAGTAGTACATGAAGATAACGCTATGTACACTTTCTTCTGAAATTCTGAAGGGTAGGCAGGTATGCAAACTCCATCACTGTTAATGGTCATATAAACTGCAGTAGGTATATGTATTGTAAAGGACACTGCAAGAAAAAAAAATCATATTAATATAGGAATATGTGCATGTTTATACTCGAGCATGTTCCCATTCGAGCACTGTTATTATTATCTATTTGTTTATATTGTGTTTACGGTACTACGCAGCAAACTTGATTTGAATAATATAATATATATGATAATATATAATATGGAACTCAAAGATGAATATATATAGCCTATATATATGTGTGTATATATATAGGCTATATCTACTTGTGATATATATATATATATATATATATATATATATATATATATATATATATTTGTTATCTCTCTCTCTC